GAGCCATCTTAGGGTTGGCAAGAGATTTGGTGCTCCCAGGTGCCCAGGGCGATGTCCCCAGTTAGTTCCTGGGGCAGCTGAGGACAGAGAACCTGAAATGACCCTATCCTATAGCCATACTGATTAATATCTTGCATATCACCATAGAACCTTCATCTGGAGATGGATGGAGATAGAGACAGAGACCCACACTGGAGCACAGGACTGAGCTCCCAATGTCCCAAGGAGGTCCAAGCAGTGTTTTAATGAATTCAATTTCTGTGTGATTATTTTGGAGCTAAGCCAGTTGGGCAGCCGGGATGGGACTAATAAGCAGGCCCTCTAACCTTGCAACATGTAGAGCTCAATAAAAATCAATAAAAAAAGATATTCAAGGTAATCCTTTTGCTGTTGGGAAACTCCCTGGGGGGCTCTTCTGCAGGCCCCATGCCAAATTTGTTTCAGTCATTCCCTGATGTCATGGAGGAAACGTCTTCCCAGAGTAATTAAAGAATCAAGTGCCTTTTGTGAAAAACACCATTATTTCTCTGGATGATAGATAGAACAGCTTTAGCAGATAAAACAAAAATTTCAGGAGAAACCATGAAAATATTATAAAGATTCGAACAAGAGAGACCTCTTGATTAGGAGAGATAATATTTCATCAAACAGCTTGGCCATTCAGTCTAACCTAACTTATATGACTAACAACAAATGCTTCTCCTTTGTTCAGCTATAACTTGCTGAAAGGTAACCTCCCCAAAGTTAGGGTTGGGGCAGGGATTTGTTTTCATCTTTTCAGGAGAATGAAGGCATCCAGCTAAGGAATCTGGAGACCACTGGACAAATGAGACATGGGAAGAAATAGGACAAAAAAGTCCCAAGAAAAGAGTAATTAGCCTATTTGTATATCATATCTCCAGCAGGATAAAATTTCATAAATCTTCCCAAATGTTTGTTTCTGCTGTTCTCTACAGACACATAATGCAAATGGTCTTTTTGTAGTCCCAGTTCAATTAAAAATTAAATCTGCTTTGGAGTAAATGTGTGGCTCTCTCCTTCTCTAAACCCAAGCATGCTTATTAAAGTAAAATCCAAAATCTCTGTCTCATGTCAGAAGAGTCGCTTTATATGGGATAGAAGAAAAGCCAAAACTTAGGAACTTTTGTATTACCACTAATCTCATAATCCTTTGGTTTTATTTTGACTCTTTAACAGCTTTTCTTAAGGCATAAATATTATCTCAAATTAATAAGATTAATATATATATATGCATATATGTATTAAATTTTTTGTCATGATATTAATGGTCATTATAGTACTAACTGATTTTAGGATATGTAGTGGTATTTCAATTGCATTTTAATAAATAAAGCTTGCCTGGGGGTTGGGAGACTAACACAGCCGCACTGGTCAGCCTTACAGACCAGGCAATGGTAACACACCTTTAATCACAGTAACCGCACTAGTTGCCATAGAAACTGGGTGATGCATGCTTTTAATCCCAGTGGTGCATGTCTTTAATCCCAGCCCTAGAGAGGATTATAAAATGGGAGGAGACAGCTCTCAGTCACACTCTCATTCTGAGATTCCTGAAGTCAGGATCACCATTTTAGACTGAGGTGAGGGTAAAAGCCAGTGGCTGGCTGCTTTGCTTTTCAGATCTTCAGGCTGAGCCCCAATTTCTCTCTCTCTCTCTCTCTCTCTCTCTCTCTCTCTCTCTCTCTCTCTCTCTCTCTCTCTCTCTCTCTCTCTCTCTCTTTCTCTCTCTCGAGTTTTTAATTAATAGTGCTTCAAGGAAAAGGCATCATCTAGCTTCCTGTACATGACTTCAGGTGTGGGTCTCTATCAAGTAACTAGGAATTATGTTTTTTTATACTCTGATCTTTAACCTCTTTGAAATCTGCTGCAAATGACATTTAAAATGATCTAAGGGACCAAGGAAATGCTTAGGTGATGTTGAGGATTCAGAACCTAATAGCCATTTGATGGTAGCAGTTTTTTGGAAGTGTGCCAAACAATTGAGGTAGCACCCGTAACATATAGCAAGTGAAACTATTAGTAGTACTATAACTACTGAATGTGTAGTTAGAATAGTTGGGGCAGCTTTGCCCTTATTAGAGACAGAGAACAGGCAAGAAAACCATTTAAAGTATCCTTGGCAGGCTTTGTAATAGGTATCAATAAAATTGATGCTTTGTGCTATCACCATAAGTTGTAGACCATGGAGGAGGCCACTTGTCCCGTTCATGAGTTCAACGAGCCTTTCATTGGCCAATTTAAGCTCAGAAGTCAGCCACTGAGTTTCTTTTACTGTGTTCTCATGAAGAAGAGACAAAGTTAGTGAAGAAAAATTTTCCACATTGTAAATAACCTAAGTCCTACTTAGCATGGTGAAACATAGCCCTGTAGCTGGCTGGACAGTGAACCAGAACCTTCATAGTAGAATCTCGTCGAAGGGTAACATCAAAGAAATTCTCTGTTCTATGTCTCAATCCATGTAGGTCATAGTTGACAGATCTAAGAGCAGTTGGACAGTCAGCTGTTGTTACATTAGACTCTTGAACAAGGAGTGACCACTTGGAAACTTTGTAAGAGTAGGTAGTTTGCCTGCTATCAGTAATAGATACACTAGATACCTCTGCCCGGATAGGTGTAATGCCCAGTGGACATGGACAGTATGGGTCACACCTGACTGAAATCCAGATGCCACAATCCAGAGTGGCAACTAACTAGTAAACTAAAAGAGGAGTGAGGAATAGTTTTTTTTTTTTCCAGAATTGTGTCACAGTGTTCCAAGGACATCATTTGGGCATCCTAAATAACTTTTCAAACCCTAGTTTGACAACAGGACATGTGGCAATATCCTTTGGTCACTGTCCATGAACGGTCAGAGTACAGAAGGACACCTGGGAGTTGAGACGTGCCCTTCCGGAGATAGTGTTCTGTGGTTGGAAAACAGCTTTCCACAGAGTTGGCCTCAATAACTAAGAATCTAGGACTGTTTCCTTTTCCCCTGCAGATAAACACTGCAGTGTTAAAGTAAGTTAAGGTCTTATCCTGTGTCTGTGCAATGTATATATTTATCAGGAATAGAATCATTAGTGAGAATGTTGTACAAATAATTTATCATACCATGTCTGAGGACTGTAGTTCCTTAAACTGTTAAAAAACACGGATTATCTTCATTCTGGTTATACCTTTACGCTGACTGTTTAAGACTGTGTAGGGGGCCAAAATTAATCCTTTCTTCTTTTCTGCTAAGGGCAGTTGAAGTTGGTCCTCAGGCATGACTTGACCTCAGGAGAATCCCCTGGCTCAGCTAGTCTTTCCTTTGCCATTTCATCCATCTATGTGAGCATAAGTCAAAGCCTTGCTTGACCAGTGTTTCACTTGGAAGTGTGGCATCAATTTTTCCTGTGTTGACCTTCCTCTTTACAGACTGGACACTTGAGAGTCCACTCAGTGATATATCTAAGGCCATGCAGGACAAGAGAGCAGGTGGTTCCCCACAGTTACATAACGTTTCGAAAGATGTTGTACAGTTCCTTGGGACAATGGTGAAGACATCTTCTCTTTTAATGCCTCTGACCACATCAGTGTAGTCTATAGGTGTGGTTATTGAACACCCAGAAGGTCATTTGTAGCAGTTTGTTATTTTTAATTAATGTGTAATGGTATGGTAAAGTTTAATCAGAAGTTAAAGTGTGGTTATTGGACCAACATATATTCTTACCACTCTGAAACTGTTAGAGAAGAAAGTCCCATTATAAACCCACTGACCTGTGAACAACTAATGTCTCCAGATGGTAAAAAGATCTGGGAAGTGAGACTTACACAGTCAATTTATCAGTAGAATGTAAGTTAAATAAGAATTGTTCTCGTCATGAGAATTGAGTAAAAATGTATGAAAGGAAACTAAACACCTAAGGTTTTACAATTCTACATTAATTTTTTTCAGTCTCAAATTACATTTTAAATTTCAAATATAAGGAAAATTGAAAGAAAGGCTATAATCTTTTGTCCTTATTATTGCTTGTACTGTTGGAATAATTTTTTAACCATTTGAAACCTTCTCAATTGTTCTTTGCAATGTTTATGATTTAAATTGTTATTTCTTATATTACAAGTGCAATATACATTCATTACAAGAAATTTCAAAATATAAGTAAAAAAAATTCATCTATACTCTTACTACTTTCTTTCTCCTTATGTTGTAAAGCCCTCGGGTGTCCTCACATGGGGTCATATACACAGCATCTTTTTATCTACCTTGTCCCATTCATTCCCATGCTATAAATACATACGCTGCATTGATGCTTAGAGCAAAGGTAACTTAATTTCCCCCCTCATCCTTATTTAAATAATGTGTGAGTACCCAAGAAGACTTCAGCAAATCCAGAGTTGCTTTATCTTAGAACCAATTTCTAGCTTCTGGACTGTTCCTCTCCCTTTAGTTGGCTTTAATTTGCTGTGCCTTGACTGTAACCTGGGGGCAGCATCTTCAGCAAATGTGCAGAGACCCAACAGAAGCAGAAGATAAATGTAGATACAGGTTGTTTACTTACTTTTCCCCTGGTGCCCATTTTCCTCAGGAAGCTTGCTTTGGAAGTGTCTTTCTGACTGGTCTTTCACCTCTACCCGGAATGCTTTGTATCTTGTGCTGAGAACTCTGAATAAATAGCATTCCTGCTGGCTGGTTGTCCAATCACAGCCCTGACTGATTCTTCCTGTGACATTTGTACTGTCATAGTTCAAGCTGGCACCAAGAGTTATTTTTTAATTAGTTCTTTTTTTATCTTTTATTACAATATATCGAATAGAGAAAAGCACATCAATTGTATAAAGCCGAGTGACAGATAACCACTTAGTAAAGATGTTTCAGTTGCTCTGGAGCTTCCCTCTTCCCCACTCTTCTCTTACAGCCTGATAATTTCCTTGTATACTTATTGTTTTGCTACATATTTGTGCTTTCCTATCCAATAGTTTAGAGTATTAATAAGTTCGTGCAGTAATAGAATAGTGTAATAATAGACTCCTAGTATGTGTGTCCTTCCAAGTGTTTCCCTCTCAGTTCTGTTTGTAGATCACTCACTCACAGTGAGGCCCATATTTCTATATGATGTGGCAGCCAGGCTCTAAAGCCATAGTCAGTATCTGAAGTGGTCACGTAGCCTTCCAGACAGGCTGTCGCTAACCTAACGAAAGGTCCGCATGTTGCTCTGCTCTTTCTTTTTAATTTGGAGGATGCCTGAAAAGAAATGCTAATTCACCCTATGTGACAGAGCCAGCATACAGACCAGGCAGATGTGGACAGGACTGAAAGCCATTCACCTGGTTACCGAGGAAACAGAATGCTAATGTATTTCTCCCTCAGTTAAATTTTGGTATAAAGACTGTTTGGAGAATACAGAGAGAACTTCAGGATATGAACTCAGGATTTCATGAGGGATCACTGAGAATCTCCCTCCCCATAAAACTATGTGAGTTGTGTCTTTATTCCTGCACCTCCACGCTGGTCCAGAGAGAGATAGCTTATGTTGGGGTCTGTTCCAGAGAAATAATTTATGGTCCGAGCTAGCACCAGACCCCGACATCACAGTGCCTTTAATTATAGTTTATTTTGCTTCCCGGTGGGCATTCTACTGTATGAACCATAACTCATGCACCCCCTTTTCTCTCTGCTCTTTTTTCTACTCATGGTGATTCAGTGGCTACACAAAAGCTCTCTTCATGAGTCCTGCTGCAGGAGTGCTCAAGTTTGCTTATGCAACATCCAAGACTGATACAGCCAGAACATACTAACAGGGCAACTGACTGTTGGAACACTGAAAACACTTTTGTTAAGGGTGCTCAAAAGCCACGGGCTCAAAAGCTGCCAGAGTCCCTTTCAACTGCTGTGATCAGGGAGCCATGTAGTCACTATTGGGGACAACTCTCACTGTCCCTCTGGATGTGTGTGCCTGAACACAGTCCCAGTGGCTCTGGGTCTCACAGTGTCCTCCACAGACAGCAGGGCTGCAGCCCCTGAGAACCAGTGTCTAGAGCCTGCCTGACCTGGGGCTCTGAGCGCTGGTGCTGAGGGGCAGAGTAACTAACACATGATGGCAGTTTGGGAAAAGGGACATCTCCAACTGACGACCAACTCAACTTTTCAAAATTATATTTTAAAGTTTATGACCTTAGGCCAATGTAAAAAAATCATATATCCATCACTCCAGAAGGTGAGTGGAAGAGTTCACTGTCCCCCAAGTTCCTCCTGCTGTGTCTTACTTTAAAGTCCTGCTCCACAGCTGGCTGGCTTTGCCTCTGTAGTCTCGCTGTATCTTCTGACTCCATCCTGAAGACCACACTTTGGGCTTCTCTGGGAACTGCTGGTGTGCAGCTGAGATGGTCAGAGTGACTCATGTTTGCAAACTGACTGGACCTCTGAGTGACAGGGTTTGGAGACTCAGGCTCAGAGTCACCAGGCTTAAACGTGATCTATGGTGGTGCACCGGACACGTGATTCTGTGTGATCTTTGTTTCCCTGACCGTCGCTGAGGATCAGCAGTTTGGTGGTCTGGACACAGGTTTTCTGCTCACCTATTCGGTAATGAGAGCTTTGTAAAGATCATTGTTTTTCAGTTTTCATTCCTTATATTACTCTTAATTTTTTGCTTTACATATTTAAACTGTTTATTACATGTATTAAGTTTGTGTATGTAAGTGAGGGTTGGCTGAAGTGATCAGGATTGGAGGCAACTGCCTTTGCCTGCTGAACTGTCTTGCTGACCCTGCTTTTTTACAATTTGATCTGTGAAAGTTCTGTATTCTGTGTTTTAAGAGTTTAAAATATTTTTGCTCTCTTTCCTTGTGAGTATGGTTTTCTTTAGCTTTGTCCGTCTTTTTCATATTCCCATAGTATTCACTGGTTTACTTGACCTCAGTAATTTATTATTGAATTAAGTTATTTTTATTTAACTTTTTAAGCTATAATGCATGTTCTCTATTTTGCTTTCTTACTACCTACCCTACGAATTGAAGGGAAGAAACATCCCAGGTCAGTGAGGTTAAGAACAAAACTCAGGTCAGCATGACTTTAGCCAGTGTTGGATCAGAAAACTTCTGGAGTCTGACCAAGTGGTTTTTTTTTTTCTTACACATTTACAGCTAATAAAACTTTAAATAAAAGTTCTTTCTTGACAGTCATCACAGCAACGCTTTAGGCTTGACTCCTGGATACTCTCTTGAAAAGTATATTATTTATTTATTTATTATGTTTTTGAGACAGGGTTTCTCTGTAGCTTTGGAGCCTGTCCTGGTACTCACTTTGTAGACCAAGTTGGCCTTGAATTTATAGAGATCTGCTTGTCTCTGCCTCCCAAGTGCTGGGATTAAAGGCGTGTACCACCACCGTCTGGCTGCCTGGCTGCAAAATTCATCTCTTTAGCAAAACACCTATTTACTGAAAATAGAATCCATTCTTATGGTGAAGGTACCATATCTATCACCATGCACAAAACTCAAGTCCAAATGGATCAAAGGTCTCAACATAAAATCAACCACACTGAATCTCATAGAAAAGAAAGTGGGAAATACACTTGAATACATTGGCACAGGAAATCACTTCCTAAATATAACCCTAGTAGCACAGATACTGAGAGAAACAATTAATAAATGGGACCTCCTGAAACTGCGAAGCTTCTGTTAAGCAAAGGATATGGCCAACAAGACAAAACAGTAGCCTACAGAATGGGAAAAGATCTTCACTAACCCCACATCAAATAGAGGTAAAAAAAAAAAAGACAGGTTGTTTTGTGAACATACATACACACTTAAAGTAGATATGTCTACAAGCAATTAGCATGTCCAGCCTAAAGCACCAAGGAAGCTGGGAAAGAAGGAAGGAGGGAGGGGAGGGGAGAATGGAGAATTGGATGGTGATCTTTTGCTAGTCTCTGAAGCCAACCTTCAGTAGAACTTTCCCAAATCCTGAACATTGTTTAGGCCCTAATCCTGAGCTTTGTCACTCACTGAATAGAACTTATCCTCCTGAATTGGGGACCATGTAATTGGCATTCTCCATCAACAGAACCCATCTTCATGCTTTGGAATCCTTCCTCCATAGGTATTATTCTGAACACTGTTTATCTGTTACAGAATCCTCTTTTTTCCAACTCGAACATGACTTATTCTCTTACGTTGGCTTTGACAGGAGTCTCTATTCTTTTTCTCAGGGTTCCAAAGCTCCCCTGTCCATTCTAAAGCATTGACAAGCTCTGTGACCCCCTTTCATTTCCTCTTCCCACTGTTACTAATTTGCAGATCGGGTTCTCATTATTTCTTGTTTACACTGTTGTAGTAATCTTGATAAGGAGCCTCCTGCTGGCACAGCTCTGTCTGCAGTTGCTGTTTCCAAACACTAGATTCACATTCCTAACAGTTTCTTTTAAAAAAAAAAAACCCTTTATCTTTCATTTTCTAGTTTTTAAAAAATCAGATATCTTTTCTGGTATAAGCATCCAGAACTCTCTAAATCTTCCCAAATCAACCTCAGAACTCACTCAGGTGTTCCCGAACACTTACCCACACACTAAACACTATTGACCCTTTCCCTTCAGTTCCTGATTTGTCTTGCTCCCCCATGCTCTCTGCATCCTCCTCTGACCCTCTTGCTTGTGTGCTGCCCTGCGTGGAGCTGTCCCACGGCTGTCTTGCCTACTAAACTCTGAGCTATCCTTCAGACGTACAGGCTTTGTCTTCTCCACTGTGTCTTGGCTTGCTCGTTAGGCACACTGAGATAGTCACATGAGCCCCAGCTGATTTCATGTTCTAATGAGGCGATGTACATATATGTAACACAAATCCCCACTTAGTACAAGGACAAGCTTTTTTTTTGATGTGGAGTGAGCGAGGGATGGTCTGTGGGTATAGTAGTATGTAATTTATGATTGAGATAGTATTTTATTTTACATAAAATGTATTTCATAGAGTACTTTAGAATATTTGAAAACATCAGGTACTTGACAAATGATGGTCCAGTTAAATAAATATCTTCGTTGGAAGCCCAATAAGCCTTAGCACAGACCCAGCACTAATACACTTTTCCATGTGCTGTGGTCTCTCTTTTGTGCTATAATTCCCCCAGCTTCTTTGAAAGTAAGTGTGAACTGAAGTCCCCCGAACAAAGTCACGGCTGTGTGGAAGGGTCTGCAAGGCTACTGGTTAGTTAGAACTTATGATGGTCCAGAGTTGAAATGTCGGCTGTCCATATCTATAGTCCCCTTAGCTCACCACCACATCGGTGTGAACTGACATCCTTGTGAATGTCACTAGACTTCTTTGATATGTATTAACTTAGCAGGACACTTGTTTCCACCATCTCCACAGGTAAGAATGTTATGTTATCATAGGATATGTATACCATAACAGAGCTCTGCTTTACTCTGACCTGTGTTTCTATGGTCTCCACTGGTGTACTTGAAACATTTTCTTCTGTAAAGACTTCCACGTGGACCACGCTATTCTGGGAACCTCAATCAGTGGTCCTAGGCCATCATCACTTATGTTTAGATTGAAGTAAAGTGTTTCTTATTACCTTCAAGGTGAGAGCAATAAAAGGGGGAAGAAGATTTGTCTTCAGGGAAACAGTGAGACAGCCCAAAGTGCCATTCTTAGGATTTTGGATAGTATCAGAAAAGGTTGTCATTCTTTTCGAGTTAGAACTCAGAAAACTGGACTGCCTTTGCCTCAAAGATCTGTACACAACTGTCTTCAAGAAGGAGCTTCTGGAGACATAAATTTCTCATCTCATTAATGGACCTATCTCCTTCATACGTGTTCAGGAAAATCAACTTTCCTAGGGGGTGACCCAGAGATCAACAGCCTACGTGGTAACACATTTTATTCTTTTTAAAAAGATAAATAATGGACCCATCTCCTTCATGCGTCTCAGGAAAAATCACCTTTCCTAGGGGGTGACCCAGAGATCAACAGCCAGGTGGCAACACATTTTATTATTTTTTTAAAGGATAAATCTATTTATTCATTGTATGTATTGTACATGCATGTACATTCATGTAACATGATGAATGAGTGGAAGTCACAGGACAGCTAGCAAGGGTTAGTTCTCTCTTTCCAACACACGTTGATTGAACTCAGTTCATCAGACTTGGTGGCAAGCGTCTTTTCTTGTGGAGTGATATTTGGTTCCTTATATTCTAGTTTTTACCTTCTCTAAAAAATGTTTTCTTCCATGAGTACATAATACAGCCCAAAATCATGTACAGACTTCAGCTGTCGTGTCTCATCTGTGTCCTTTAATTTCATAGGAAATTATGAGCAGTTTCTTAGCTTCTCTTTACCTTTCATGCCATTGACATTTTTCAAGTAAGAACAGCACTGTCTTCATCCAAATTTCTCTTCAAAATAGGAATTTAGCTCCAATAACTTTAAGATCTTTACCTTTTGTTTATCTTTTTTCTTCTTCCCCCCTCTCTCCCCCCCTCTTCCTCCCTCCCTCCTCCTCCTCCTCCTCCTCCTTCTTCCTCTCTCTCTCTCTCTCTCTCTCTCTCTCTCTCTCGCTCTCTCGCTCTCTTTCTCTCTTTCTTTCAGAATCAAGAGCATCTTGATGATCCAGTAAAGAAACACAGGTTGTTTTTCATGAGATATCTTTCTAAGAACCTGTGCACTGACTCTTTTATGTTTGTTTGTTTTTTTGAGACAGGGTTTCTCTGTGTAACAGTCTTGGCTCTCCTGGAACCCGTTCTGTAGACCAGGTTGGGCTTGAACTCATAAAGATCCACCTGCCTCTGTCTCCTGAGTGCTGGGATTAACGACACATTTGCCCTTTATAATTTTTGCCTCAGGCAAAGCTTCCTTAGATATGTATATATATTTCCATTCAGGCAGGTGTATACTTATGCATCAGGAAGAAATGATGTTAGGAAATCTGGCTGTAACTTGTAATAAGTAGCCAAAGCAAAATGAAAGATTCAGACTGGTGTAGAAGGAATGTTTTATGACCAGTGGTTAAATGAAGGAGGGGGTATAGAAGAAAGGTGTAGTTGGACTGGGGAGATCTCAGTCTGTAAAGAGCTTGCCTTAAAAGTGTGAGATCTGGAGAGATGGCTCAGTGATTAAGAGCACTGCCTGCTCTTTCAAAGGTCCCGAGTTCAATTCCCAGCAACCACATCCCTCTGTAATGAGATCTGGTGCCCTCTTCTGGTCTGTAGGCATATGAGCAGGCAGATCACTATAAATAAATCGTTATAAAAGTGTGAGACTTGGGTTTGATTTCCTAGAATCTATGATCTAGGTCTGTGTTGGGCATGGTGTCATTTGATTGTGACCTGAGCACTGGACAGTGAGAGCCAGAAGGCTCCCTGATGCTCAGTGGCCAGCTAGCCTGGTCTGCCTGGTGAGTCTAGCTCAGTGGTCAA